TTTTTAACCCAAAAATTTTATCGTTAGTCAGTTATTTTCCCCAAAAAAAATAAGGGAAATAAAAATTAATCCCGTGGGCAAGACACCCAAAAAGTATTGAAAAAAAAAAATTTTTAACCCATGAAATTTTAAATTTTTAAAATACAACAAACTGAAGATTCATGCACAGTTACAAGCCCATTTAAATTTTTAAATTGAAGTTCTGGTGAGGGATTAAATGGGAGGGGAGGGGAGGTTTTTTAGGGGTTTGAGGGGAAAACCCCCTTCCATTAGCCCCTTGAGGCAGCAAGTCTTTTTCTGGGGTTATTTCCCCTTGTTTTTTTTAAACTTGGACCGCTTCGAGTCACTGGGGCTTTCTGTCGCACAAAAATATCTGTCCTAGAGGCCTGTACCTTCGTTCCTTTTTGACCTTTTTCCCAAAGTGGTTCACAACAGTGTCCCGGTGTAATTAAATCACCCGCACGGCTTTTCAATTTGCTGTGGGCAGGGGTGATTTTCATCAAAAAGGTTTTTTCACTTTAAAACCACTTTGAAAACTTTCCTTTATCTTAGAAGTAGGCAAAAATTTTCCAAAATTCTCTCCCCTCCTCCCAAGCAGTTTTCTTTAGGGTTTCCCCCCTTTTTGTTTTAAGATGTTTTTAGCAGCTCATCAGGGGTTTGTTTCCCTTTTTTGGGCCCCCACCACCCAACTCTTTCCCCATCCTTCCCCCCATAACCCCAACCCCAAGGATTCCCCCCAAAGCCACCCCAAAGGATTCCCTTTAACTGGCTTTGGATTTTTAGGGTTAGGGCCCCAAAACCCTTTTTAAAAATTTTCCCCTTTTTTCTACACATTCTGGGCCCCAGTTTTTTTTTCCCAAACAGAGTTCAAAAGTCCTTTAAAATCACTTCCTTTCCCCGCCTTACCAATTTAAAGGTTTTTCACAATTTTAGGATGGTAAAAAGATCTTTCAAAAAATCTCCCTTTGAGTCAGTTTTAGTTTCCCGAGATCACTCAAAGCACCCTTTTTAAAACATAGCTTTTGGTAAAAGTTTCTTGAAGTTGGAAATAACCCGCTTTGGTTTCCCTGGGGTGCAAAGGGGAGGAGTTTGGTTTAGGAGGGAAAAACTTAACCCCTTTAAAGAAGCTCCTTTTCCCTAGAAAAGTCGCTCTGCCAAGTCTGAAGGATGACCAGGAGCATTTTTCAATACCCCGGAGGCACTTAAGGTCTAATTTTTTTTTCAATTTTGGGAAATTTTTTACATTGGGGGCAAATGCTTTATGTAACCAGTCATAGAAAAAGTTTCCCTTTGTTACCCATGCCCTTTCTGTTTGCCCTTCACAGCACACACAAAAAAAGCCTTGGGGCATTGTTTTTTCCTGAACACTCTGGGGGTTTCAGAGTGATTTCACCAATAAAGGCTTCACTTTGCAAAAACCCTAGCCCTTGGACACATCAAACCCGGGGTAAGCCTTTTTTTTTTATAGGCTTATGTCCCCCGGGGGGAAAATGCCTTTTCCTCCCGAGTTAAAGTACGTCCTGCTTGGCTTTTTTTTCCATAAACAGGGCCTGTTTCGTCACAATTAAAAAACTTTTTTCGGTTTGGAATCCTTGGCTGTCTATGTACTCCTTTAAAATCCCGCACATATTTTTCAGCCCAAATTTTTGGTCCCAAAATGGCAGCCTTCCCCCCATGCCTTATCACCTATGAAAGCCACTAAGCTTCTTTTAAAACTCTCAAACCAAACCCTTTTCTGGCCTTAAATTCACTCCCTCCTAGTTGCTGGATTTTTTTAATTTTTTAAAACGTCCCTTGCAACTTCCAAACCTTTTCACATATGATCGCTTGAGAGTTTCTGTTTTCCTGCTATCTGTTTCTCGTTTAAAACCCACCCAAAAACAGTCTTCAACATTTTCGGAGTATTCGATCTCAGTTTTTGAAAACATAGTTGCACCTTTGGGGAAGAGCAACTTCCTTGATTGCCGTTTTCTTGCCCACAATAGTAGCGATGGTTGTTTGGGGGGGTTTTTTATCAATGACCAGCTTGGGGGTTGCCCCTTCCTTTCATTTTTTATTTAATGATCTCTTTTTTTCCCTTCCCTGGGAATTTTTACCCTTTTTGCTGTAGGGTTGGCAAAGGGAAACTTTTTTGGGGCCCATGGGTTTTCTTATTTTGCAGGTGCAATCTCTAAAAAGGGTGTGATAATATGAAATGTTCCAGTTGTTTGTTTGGAAAAACGAAACCCTGGGGGGCTGGCGGGGTTGTAAAAAACTGGACCAAAGGGACAAGTGAGGGCGCTCAGGCCAAAGTGGCGCGTATGGGAAAGGAACGGAAAAGCGGTGGTCGGGGTTTTTTTAAACAATGGTGAGGCAAAAAAATTTTTCGGGTTTTAAAAAATATCGCTTTGTCAGATTTTTCGTTAAACGATACCTGTTGGTCGAGGGGGCCACTGTACCCTTACCTTCTTCGTCTTTTTCGGCCCGGGACCCCCGTTGCACTAAAAATCTGTCCCGTGAAACTCGTTTTTGGCATCTTTTAACCCTTTCAGGGGGTTTGCAGGCCCTCTCCTAAACTTTTTTTTCTCAGGGTTTTGGGAAAATTTTTTTAAAAAAAAAAAAGAAAATTTCTTGTGAAAAGATAGAGAATCTTTTCCCGTCCTAATGACACCAAAAATATGAAAAATTTATGAAAAAACTCACGGGAAAAAATTTTTGCTCTTGCAAAAATTAGCTTTCTCGACGTTTTTTTCGCATCGGCGATTTTTTCCCCCTTTGGCCCCATTTTTTGGCCAAAATTAATGCCCCCAGTCGACAAAAAATTAAAAAACTATTTCACTAGAAAAACCAATTTGTCTATCAATTGGTACGAAAAAACCCCATTTACCTTTTAACCCATCCAATGAAAATGGTTTAGAAATTAGCAATTTTGCCCAGTTTACACAAATTTCAAAAGATGCCCAAATTTTCCAAAAATTTGGGTTCCCGAATAAACAAGACAGACATTCCCGGACCTAAAATAAAATTTCCTCTTTTTTTATTGTCACGTCCCCACCCTCTTTACATTTTTTTTGCTTTTTCCCCTTTGAATTTTTATTCTCACAAAAAAAAGATGGGTTTATGTTAGAGGGCTACCGCATTTGTGTTTGAAATGGTGTAGAAAGGGATAAATTTTTCAGGGGGGACTTTGTGGGAAATTTTAAAAATTTTTGGACTCACCCGGTTTTAATGTTTTGGACGGGGGTTTTTGGGAAAAGAAATTTTTTATTTTAAATTTTTCCAAAAAACCCAAAAAATTTCTTTGGGTATTTGGCCAAAATTTTGGTTTTTTCTCTCCATGTTGATTTAAAAACCCGCAAAAAAAATCTCAATTTTTTTTTCCCTTTTGTTTCCATTTATAAAAAAATTTTGGGGGAAAGGGCAAACCAAAATACCCCCCCATAAAAAATAGCCCTTTGGAAATACCCCCCCAAAGTTCCCTGTTTTTAAAAACCAAAAAACACGGTTTTGGGTTTTTTTTTTTTTTCATTTTTGCACTGTGTGCTGCAGGATTTTTTTTATACTGTGCCACACCCGGGCCACATAGACCCATTCTTTTTTGGGTAGGGCCCCCACCGCTTTCTCCTCTTAGAGTTTAAGGTTCTAGAATTTATGATACTAGTACGGCACCCAAACCCGGTGTTTCCAAAGCCGTTTAGTAAAGGCACCCCAAACCCCGAAAGGGGTTAAATTTTTTCCAAAATTTTTAAAAAATTCTTCCCCCGGGTTTCATTTTTTTTCTGAACTTTTCAGTCTCACCATAAAATTTTTTCTTGGGAAACTGTTGAAAAGCCCTTTTTCTGGCCTTAAATTCAATAACAGTGCATTGTTTTGGGATTTTCTTTTTGAGTTTTGCAGGGAACTGCCTTGCCCCTTTTTACAAATGTTTGACCCCCAAAAGCCTATTTTCCCCCAACTTTTTTTCGTTGATCCCCCAAACCAAAAACAAATTAAAATCTTTGATTGTTTTTGTCTTTTGTTTTTTTTAGCATAATTTAAAACCCTTTTGCAAAAATTTTTTTTTAAAAGATTTTTATTTCTTTGTCAGGATGGAAATCCTGGGAAACTCGGCTAAAAAATTTTCGCCCCTTTCGTTTTTTTTAAAACCCCTTTCTTTAATTGTATTTGGGGTTTCTCACCCCCTGTACCAAAAGGGGTTTGGGAATAGGAAATTTCTTTGGGGGTCTTTGGTTTGCTTTTTTTTGCAGTCACAATTTATTTTTCAAGTTCAAAAATTGAGTCCCGAAGATTTGGGGGAAAATAAAGTGTCCCGCACTCTGAAGGGGGGGTGTTAAAGTTGGGGTTTTTTAAAATTTGTGTAAGCAAAGCCTCTTTGGAAAGACAGGGGTTGAGTAAAATGATGAAAAATTTTTTTTTTTTGGGCCACCCCGCCTTGGTGGGAGAAAGGCCGATGTGTTTTTAATTTTTAAAATATTAAAAATTTCTTTGCTTCCCTCTTCCTATTAAATTTTGTTTAAATTTAAAATTTTTTTTTCAAAAAATAATAATTTAAAAAATTTTCCATCTATAACCTTTGTTAGTTTTAAGTTGTCTGTAAGCTTAGGTTTTCTTTTGCCCTCAAAGCCTTTCATATTAGTGGCTTTCTTTGTGGTTTAAAAGTATTTTATTACTTTTAAACTAAACATTGTTTTTACTACACAAACAAATAGAAATGTTGTTTTATTTTTTTTAATTTTTTTTTATTTTTAAAGGGCTATGATCCCCCTTAAGACCCAAAAAATTTAAATTAAAATAGAAATTTTAAATGGAAAACAAGCCAGTAGGATATATGTATTAATGTAACTTAATAAATATACACTGTGATTATGGAATTAAAGAATGATAAAATATAAGTTACTGGTAAATGCTTGTGGAAAAGTTGCTTTAAATGTTAGTTTTTTTTTTTTTTTTTTTTTGTAAATTTAGATTTAAAAGATTTAAATATAATGGTAGAATGAAAAATAATTTGTTTTACAAAATAGGTCGATACAACAAGTACAGCAGAGACTTACCGCAAACACCTTGGTTTGTTGAGGGAGAAAGGAAATTAGAATCCAGTGTGCAAGAACTATTGTGCCAACCTCTCAACAAGGCTGTGTGTGCAGAAGGTAAGATGTCTTTTTTAACTGCATTTTGCATTCATTTGAGTTTTAGTGACAAAGATTCAAATAAATGGCGCAATCTGAGCCAAAACCTCTTCAGAAATTTTAAAATCTTGGTACTTGCCAAAAATTGCATCAACATTACAATGCAGTGTTCTAATGATATGGAGTGAACAGTAGCTCATTAAGGGATATAAGCAAGGGCATAGTGTATTGCCCATAATTGGGGTTTGTGATGGTTCTTGATACTTGTTGATTTTACCATCAGCAGCATCCCCTCCAGGAATTACACTGCTTAATATTTAATATTCTAGATGTGATGGACAATACATTCTTGAATTCACAAATGGATCCAGGATATCAGGATAATAACTGGGGATATCGTGAACTGTGTTTCTTAATATAATGATTACGTACACCAGATTATTCATGTCTTTCTAAGAAGGAAAGAAGAAGAAATCTTATAAGGTGTATGTAACATTCATTAGCAGGTTCCTCATCACTTGGGTCAGTTTTTTTCAGCATTTGAATTCAAGACTTCATTAATAGTACAGTAGGGCCCCACTTATATGGCAGGTTAGATTCCAGGCTACTGCCGGAAAGCAGACATCGCCAGAAATCAGAACGCCATTTTTTCCACTTACAAATGCATATAAATACCAGGTAACAAGTTTACACTAACATATATTACATTAGCAATAGAACTAGACATTAAAAACAATAAAAAGTAAAATACACAAACAGTACACCCATTACTTACCTTAAAATATTTGTAGTCTTAATGTAGGTTGAGATGTGAGTTTAAATTGTAGGAAGTCAGGTCTGGGAGGTATGGTAGCCAGCCAGGTCAGCCCACCCCACCCACATGTAACATACTACATTTAATTTAAGCTCCCCAGAGTGATAAAATACATTTTCTTTCAACAAACCGGCCGTATCCCACTGAGGCAGGGTGGCCCAAAAAGAAAAACGAGTTTCTCTTTTTAAATTTAGTAATGTATACAGGAAAAGGGGTTACCAGCCCCCCACTCCCGGCATTTTAGTAGCCTCTTAAAACACGGATGGCTTACGGAGGAAGAATTCTTTTCCACTTTCCCATGGAGATAACAGGAAATAAGCAAGAACAAGAAATAGTAAGAAAATAGAAGAAAACCCAGAGGGGTGTGTATATACATGTATATATATACTTGTACATGTATGTGTAGTGTGACCTAAGTGTAAGTAGAAGTAGCAAGATGTACCTGAAATCTTGCATGTTTATGAGACAGAGAAAAGACACCAGCAATCCTACCATCATGTAAAACAAGTACAGGCTTCTGCTTTACGCTCACTTGGCAGGACGGTAGTAGCTCCTTGGGTGGTTGCTGTCTACCAACCTCCTACCTAAAGATAAAATGCATATACAGTATATTCATTAATTTTTTTTTTTTAACAAGTTGGCTGTCTCCCACCGAGGCAGTGACCCAAAAAGAAAATACTTTCATCATCATTCAACATTTTCACCTCGCACATAATCACAACAGTTTAGAAGCATATACGTATAAAGATACACAACATATCCCTCCAAACTGCCAATATTCCAAACCCCTCCTTTAATGTGCAGGCATTGTACTTCCCATTTCCAGGACTCAAGTCCAGCTATATAAAAATAACCGGTTTCCCTGAATCCCTTCACTAAATATTACCCTGCTCACACTCCAACAGATCGTCAGGTCCCAAATACCATTTGTCTCCATTCACTCCTATCTAACACGCTCACGCACGCTTGCTGGAAGTCTAAACCCCTCGCCCACAACACCTCCTTTACCCCCTCCCTCCAACCTTTTTGAGGACGACCCCTACCCCACCTTCCTTCCCCTACAGTAAGTTTATTTAATAAGGTACAGGTACACAAATTATCATACATAGTAACATGTGTAAATTACCTAGGAGAATCCAAAAAAGTCAGACAAGTGACTTGTTTCCATTGGGGCCCTTGACTTCCATGGGGGTCCTTGATTTCCATTGTTTGTCTTTGTGTACTGAATAGTTCTTCAGTTTTTTTGTGCTTGGCAGTATTTTTGTGTCTTTCAGTGTCACTCAGTTTATCTGCAGTTGAACATTTACAGGACACTATGAATCACAGTAAGTGAACTGGACCTGACTAGCCATGTTCTCTTTCTCTTAGTTTACCTGGAGTAAGTAAGTAAGTTTATTCAGGTATACACAAATAGAGTTACGTAGAATTATCATACATAGCAGCATATGTGTAGAGAACCTAGGATAACCCAAAAAAGTCAAGACAGAGTGACTTATTTCCATTGGGGTCCTTTTACCTTATTATTATAATATAAAGGTTATAATATTTTATTATTCTATAATGAAGATAACATCTTATTATCATACTAAAAAGACTATCTACTACACGAGGGTCATTAAGACTATCTACAATACGAGGGTCATTACTAGGAATAAGGTAAAATTTACACGTATGTTAGCTAAAAAATAGAAAATCATTCCCCTCCCTTTCTGTAGCTACATTCATCAGACACCTTTTGGCACTCTTCTTGAACTGGTTCATGCTATGACTGGCTTTGACATGTGCGTTTAGTCTATTCCATTCCTTTATTGCTGTACAATAAAAAGTGTTTGAAGCCTGGCCAATGACTGTGGGTACTTCAAAGTTGTGCTCTCTCCCCCTAGTACTATGATTGCTTTGGTTCCCAACCTAGACAAAATTGACAGCAAGATATTCTGGACACTTTTTGTGAGCAATTTTATAAACAAGATTTAGCTTCAGTTGTTTTACTCTGTCTTCAACATTCAGCATATCCAACTGCTGTAATTCATCCTGGCCTACATGTTCTCTTGGTCCCAGCCCCAGGATGAATCTTAATATTTTGTGCAAGTGGATGTCTCTAAGGCTAGGACTGCATATTAATTTGTGATGGGTTTTTTCATGTGTTTTAAAAATATTTTGTGCTTACATTTTCAGGTTTATTGATTTTACTATTTAATAAGAGTACATTTGTACTGCAATATGACCAAAACAAACAGTGTGCAAATGGCTGCTTTTGTGTATTATTACCCTATACTGGTATGTATCATTATTTGAACCCCCTTTTAACATACCATAATTTTACTCTTAGAATTCATCCTCTGTTGAAAACAAAAATTTACTCTTGCTTTTTATATCTGATAATGTTCCCTTACTAGGTAGTAGGTTGGTAGACAGCAACCACCCAGGGAGGTACTACCGTCCTGCCAAGTGAGTGTAAAATGAAAGCCTGTAATTGTATTACATGATGGTAGGATTGCTGGTGTCCTTTTTTCTGTTTCATAAACATGCAAGATTTCAGGTACGTCTTGCTACTTCTACTTACACTTAGGTCATACTGCACATACATGTACAATCATATATTTACATACCCCTCTGGGTTTTCTTCTATTTTCTTTCTAGTTCTTGTTTTGTCTATTTCCTCTTATCTCCATGGGAAGTGGAACAGAATTTTCCTCCATAAGCCATGTGTGTCGTAAGAGGCGACTAAAATGCCGGGAGCAGGGGCTAGTAACCCCTTCTTCTGTATAGTATATTACTAAATTTAAAAGGCGAAACTTCCGTTTTTTTCCTTTTGGGCCACCCCACCTCGGTGGTATACAGCCGGTGTGTTGAAAGAAGAAGGAATGTTCCCTTAATATCAGGATTATTTGAGGCAAATAAAAATATTATTACTGGGGGGTTTGATGGTAAACAGGTGAATTAGTCTACTGATACTACATAGTTCACCCGACTCCATTGCCTGGTTTCCCTACCAACTGCTGCTATTTCCCAAATGAATTTTTTAAGGTTATTTTTGTTATTTATTTATTATTTTATACAAATTAGTTTACATGATTCATTATTGGGTTGAGGCCTTTGAGCAGTGTGGGTGTGACTTGGACCTGCCTAGCATGGGCCAGTAGGTCTGCTGCAATGCTCCTTTCTTACATTCTTATGTAATCTTTGGCCTCCAAGATGCTGGGTAAATTTTTGAGGCTTATTTTAGGGAAAAAAAATAGTGTCTTTGATGCCGTAAAATACGGTAATTGTCATATTCAGCCCATTTTTGAATGCCTTATTTCAACTGTATCACTAATCACTTCCATAGTTGTTTGGAAAATTCCATTAATGCATATCTCAAACATATCAAAATCATATACTGTACTGTATAGAGAGTATCTGTAAACTTGCTAAGAAGTCATACTTTATGTTAAGCTTTCTTCAGAGTATCAGTACTAACATCTAGAATATTGTACATACATTCTAATGTAAGTGCATCTTTATGGTGATTTCTTTCTGAACTGGTTCATAGTCACTATATTCTTTAGCTTATCTGTCAGGATGTTTTATTTTTGAACTTTTTGTTTACTCCTTTATTTTCTGTTTTTGGGTAAAATGATTTAGTGACATGGAGGTCACAAAATTATTTAGATTTGGTATTGATATTGCATCTAAGAACATAATTTCTGTAAATATTGAAGTTCTGTAAAAAAAAAAATATGCAGTAATTTTTCTAAGGGAGGGAAAAACTCAATAGACGATTAACCCCTTGATTTTTCAACCTAAATCCTGAGGTGTCTCCAGGCGCAAATTTTAAAAAAAAAAAAAAATTCTTTGAAATGACAGAGAATCTTTTCCCAAATTTAATGACACCAAAAAAGAATGAACTTTGTGGAAAACTGACGGAAATTTACGCTCTCGCAAATTAGGACCTGGGTGTATTTAGAATCGGCAAATTTCGCCCACTTTGACCCCCTATTTTCAGTAAAATTTCCTTGTTCCGTCGATCAAACTCATAGCTATTTTTTGAACTCCTTTTTTCTATCGATTGAGAAAAGAAACTGCCCTTTTACTGTTTCAACTACCCAATAAGGGGTCAGAATTTGTTTGGGCCAATTTCACGAAAAAAAAAATAAGACAATTTCAAAATGGGGTCCAGAATAAAAAAATGAAACATTCCTGCTCTAAAATAACATTTTCTTTGTGCACATCAGGCCCCAGGCCCCCGATATTCTCTTCTTTTTTTTTGAACTTTTATCAAAAAAAAAAAGAAGATTTATGTTATGCGACTACTGTAATATTTAAAAATTGTATAAAAACATAACCCCATTTGACTGCATATTAAAATGGTACTTGGAATTTATTGGAAAATGACTCATTTGTTTCTTTTGAACATCGGAAAAAAAAATCAAACATTTCCCTACTTTGGTCCATTTTCAAGGGTTCTTTTCATAGTAAAACCAATCAAATCACCTTTTTCTAAAATTTTTTCCATTCTATAAAATGGCCCAAAAAAAAAACGAGAATCAACCAAAAAAATACGAAAATAGACCCAAAAGCGGCATTAAATTAAAAAAAAACATCGGGTTTTTTTTTTTTCTCATTATGCACTGCGTGCTCCAGGATTTTTTTATATGGTGCACACTGACCACACATGATGCAATTTCCCCCCCCAAAGAAAAGCAGGGGTTCTTAGCATGTTTAAAAGACAACACAATAAGTGTCAGGGGCCAAGATTTCAACTGCCCTCAGCAACATAAAGGGGATTCCAATAGACCCCGGCTGTTTCAGGCGGGATGGACAACACCTAAAATCGGTACCTGACCAGTCGGGTGTGGCTGTACGTTTATTTCGTGCAGCCCCTTTAAAAGCCGGTTGATCAGGGACGATCCACATGGGCCTGGTCACAACCAGGCCCTCGGGGCGTGACCCCCCAACTCCCCTCCCGGAATTTCCAAGTAAACAGACCCTTCTCTCAAAGTGGGCCCGCCAAATTTCCTGCTTGATTTGAAGCCCCTAGACTTTATGAGTATATATACGTAAAAAAAAGTGACTCATAAAAATGTTAAACCCCCGAAAAAAGTCAGAGAGTTAAAAAATGTTCCATTTTAGTTTCATTAATGTCCAAAAGCTTTACTAATCTTAGACTCAGATTGAAAATCCTAATTTCACATTATTTGGGGCTTTGATTTTCACAAAAGGGTTCGTCAAACATGTGGTCTTATTGGCATGTCTTTTTCAATAGAAATATTGTAGATCATTTGCTGTCATATTTTACATATTGAAACCAGCTAGCCATTAATACTCTTTTAAAGACTTATCTTTTTCCCTTTCTGCCCAGCATAAAATTTTCCTCATCAGGACGAGAAATGTTTATGTTCGGTGCTTGGAATGGGACCTTTTTGTGATTGAATTTATTAATCCATGTCATACGAAATTCTCAAGAGAAGACATAAGTAAGCTGCAAAATTTAATCAATGATCCCAAAATTGATTCGTCTGAGAGACCTAAAATTTTTGCAAGTAAGAAATGTTTATTAAAATTTTTACTAGGTTCACAGATTTATTTATATTGTTTTATGTAAATGCATACAAAATTTTCTCTGTTTTCTTTTTTTTTTTTTTATTTGAAGAAATTTAAAGGGGAATGTGTTTGACTTTTTTTTGGAGAAAAGGGCACCCTACCTTGGTGGGAGAAGACCAGCTATTAAAAAAAATTGAATTTTTTCCCTATTTCTAATGAGTGGAGCAAAAAGTAAAGGCTTTTGGGTAATACCAAAAATCATCCCCTGCATTAGTTTTTGGTAACTCCAACATGTGGTTGAGCTTCCTTTTGGAATGAGCTTTTGTATAAAAATTTTTCCCTTTTTTTTAAAATTTTTTTCTGAACCTTAGTGTGTTGAAATTTTTTCTGTGAAATCCCGTTGTTTTTTTTAGCACAAGACTCAACTATGGATTTTACCTTTAAGGGAGGTTCCTTGATGCAGTGAATCTCCCCTGTTAGGGGGAATTTAAGTTACTCACCATTTGACTCTCAAAATTATAATAACACAATTACAAACAAATTACAGAATGGGTGGAGCTTACACCCATGATATGATAAGTGAGTCCTAAAACTTGCAGGCCAGTGTGCTGTCCACTGGACCATCCTGGCTTAACCATTTCAGGGTCAAAACCCCTGATCTGAAACTTGCCCTCAGGGCCAGCATTTTAAAAAAAAATATTATTTTATCTTATGAAATGATAATCTTTTTCTAAAAGTAATGAAACAAAAAGTATGAAATTGATAGAAAACTTAGAGTTACGCTCTCGCAAAGTTAGCAACCTAGGTGATATTTATGCATCGGTGATTTCACCCACTTTGAGCCCTATTTTAGGCCCATTCCATTGTTCGAGTCGACCAAAGCTATTTCACTAGTATTCTTGCTTCTATCGATTGAGTACAAAACACATCCCATTTACCTATTTCAGCTACCCAATAAAGTGATCAGATCTTGGTAATTTGGCCAATTTCACACAAATAGGGCCCGAAATAAGCAATGTAGACATTCCTGGCACTAAAAAAAAAAAATTCCTCTGTTCTTTAGTCACGTCTCCAGGCCCCACTTATATTACGCTTGCTTTCCATTTTGAATTTTTATTTACACAAAAAAAACAGATTTACTGTTATGCATATATTGTAATAATTGTATCAATAATATCAGTGTATTCCTAAATACGTACAGTGGACCCTCAGTTAATGCCTGCATCGGATAGCGCCAAAATCAGATAACGCCTCGCTTTGGCGTAAAAAATTGGCTCGGATAACACTGAAAAACTCGGTTAGGAGCTTTCATCCCGAACGTGTCCACACTGAGCCCTGAGCGGGCCCGGCCAGTAACCCCATGTACCAGTCAGTGTGTCACTGTTTACAAGCCACTGAGGACAGTTCCATGCGTACATGCGATATGTTTTGTATTAATCCATTTTTTAGTGCTTGGAACTGCTAAATAAGCCACCATGGGCCCAAAGAAAGTTTCTAGTGCCAGCCCTGTGATAAAGAAGGAAAGAAGCACAATAAAATTCAAGAAAATACTCGTAGCAAAGTACCAAAGTGGAGGAGGAAGAGAGATGGGTGAATGTGCCTTCTGCAGTGATTCAGTGATTCTACTATATGTATGATACTAAAGCATCAGGTACTGATAAAGGCTATAGTGCCAGCCAGCGATAAAGTGTAGAATTAACAGTGTAGCAAGTAAGTTAAGCGAGTAAGCGATAGAAAAATTACACAAAAGTAACTCTCCAATGTTGTTGTATGTGTATCGGGCTGCTGAACATACGCCGGCCTGCTGTGTATCTTCCACCACTCTAAACCTCTGCCAGAATCTCTTCCAGCAAACTAATTAAACTAACTTTTTTTTTTTTTTAACAAACAGAAGTATTGGACAAAATGAACAAAATTCTGTAATTTTGTATTTTGTTGGTAGCAGTAATGTTCGGTTGCCTTCTGAAGCATCGGATCAAGCCTGATGATTCTGACATTTGTCCAGTATGGGCCAGAGTAGCCATGTCCAGTACCTATCAGTTTTCATTGTTTCCTAAGCTGTGGGCCACCCCTGCCAGTTTATACTTGTTCATAAACTCATCACTCAATCTTTAATTTTCCCTCTATTTTGAGCATTTTTTTTTTTGTGATTTTATTAAAATATTAAGTAAAGTGCAATTAATAATGGTTTCTGAAGCAAGTGGTGATGCCAAGAGGAAATGTGTGGTTCTCAGTGTTAAGCAGAAAGGTTGAGTCTGGCATTGCACTGGCATGGGCATGTAAGGAATATAGTGTTAAGAAACACTGTCTGATATCCATAAAAGCAAGGACAAACTTAGACTGTGACTCTTGAGTCTGTAATACCAAACAGAATGGGTGGGGCTCGAACCCATGGCAGATGAGTCTTAAAACTCGTAGGTCAGTGTGCTAACTACTGGACCAGCTGGTTCAGTGCCAATTTACAGTGAGATTGAGTCTACAGAGTTCCATAGGCTTTGGCATTTCAGAGTGGTACATTAGTACTGTATGGTCTTCAAATACTCTAATGCATTTCTATAAAACAGACCTTTCTGTTTTAATGCCTGGGATGCCTGTTTCATAAACAGGTGGTACCACCTTCCTCTGACAATTACTGTACTGTGGCATGAGCACTAAAAGCCTCACTAGTCACTCAGATGTTATTTACATTGTATTACATTGGTCAGTGGTCAGTCGTCACGTGAGGTCACAGACCCTGAGCTGCTTTGGGGATTAGCGTGGACGGTTACAAAGCATGGCTTGCTTCTGCAGTGTTTTAAAAATTGAGGTTGGAGAGTTGAAGGAGGAGGTCTTGCTTCTCCAGGAGATTAGGAGGCTCAAGGTCCACCTCAATGGGTCTGGGAGAGAGTGTGAGGTGGCTGGAGTTGTGGGGAATGAGGCTTCTAGCAGTGAGGTGCAGCCTGTCTCTCGCTGTGAGAAGGCTCTAGGTGGGGAGGTAGCAACGGCTACCAGCAGTGAGGTGCAGTCCAGCACCTGCTACAAGTGGCGAGTGGTAACCAGTAATGGGAGGAGAATCAGAATAAGGAAAGTTAAGAGTGAAGATCTGAAGGTAGGAAATCGCTTCTCTGTTCTTCAGGATGAATGTACTTCAGTGGCCAGTGAAGGTAAGGATACTACTGCCCCTGCTAACAGAGGTAAGCGCATTCTTGTGGTTGGTGACTCTCAGGTAAGATATATTGACCGTGCTTTTTGTAATAGGAATAAGAAGATGAGAGATAGAGTGTGCTTCCCTGGAGCTGGTGTTGGGGACATAGTTAACAGGCTGGATAATATCATGTCAGGTAATGGGAACAAGCCCATTATCTGTCTCAGTGCTGGTGGAAATGATATTGGGAAGGGTAGGAGAGAAGAGCTGCTAGGTAAGTACAGGTCAGCTATAGATTTCATTAAGTCTAAGGGAGGGATCCCAATCATATGTAGCATCTTCCCTAGAAGGGGAGTAGGAAATGAATGGTTGTCTAGGGCAATTGGTGTAAATTGCTGGCTAGACAGATACTGCAAGGAACTTGCAATCCCATTCATTGACAACTGGAACAGCTTTTATGGCAATCATGATATGTATGAAAGGGATGGGGTACATCTCTCTGGGGCTGGGGTGGTAGTACGTGCAAACTCAGTTGAGAAGGCCATTGGTGAAATGCCTATGATTTTAAACTGATAGAAGATAGAGGTATGGGTGTGTGTGGGAAACAAGCAGGTTGCAACACTAGGGTTGGAAACAGTAAATGTATAAAAGACATTCAGCATGAAGTTATAAATAAAAACAATAGATCAGGTCAGCAAACAAAGGGGGACAGCAGAGGGCAGCAAGGGACTAGCTCCCTTAAGGTTTACTATACTAATAGCAGGAGTGTAAGAAATAAGATAGATGAGCTAAGATTAATTGCAAGTGCAGGAAACAGATATTATTGCTATAACAGAGACCTGGCTCAATCTGAAAGATAGAGAGATGCCCTCTGAATGTCACATACAAGGCTATAAATTATTCCACACTGACAGGGTCAACAGGAAGGGTGGTGGAGTAGTGATGTATGTCAGAGACAATTTAAATTGTTGTGTTAGACAAGATATAAAATTAGAAGCGTTGGTCACTGAATCTGTTTGGTTACAGCTTCTCGAGGGCCGAGAAAAACTAATTTTGGGTGTGATTTACAGGGCCCCAAATCTTGATAGGGAGTGCAGTAAACTTCTATGGGACGAAATTCGTAAGGCATCTACATACGAAAATGTTGTGCTAATGGGAGATTTCAACTATAGACAGATTGACTGGAGCAATTTGACAGGAAATTTAAAGTCAGGTGACTTTCTTGATACGATCCAGGATTGTTTTTTAAAACAGTTTGTGACAGAGCCAACTAGGGGAAATAACCTCCTTGACTTGGTTCTTGCCAGTAGGGAAACACTAATTAATAATCTTGAGGTTAATGATGAGCTTGGGGAAAGTAATCACAAATCACTCAGTTTTAATATATCATGGAATTCCCCTAATAATGGCAATCAAGTCTCTGTCCCTGACTTCCGCTTGGCTGATTTCATAGGACTGAAAAATTACTTAGGTGGGCTGAACTGGAATGACCGGACTAAGGGTCAGGTAGGTGGTGATGGTTGCCAATATGACGCTTTCCAGGGCATAGTTCTAGCTACTCAGTCAAATTATGTTCCAAATAGGGAAATCAGATCAAACAAAAATGATCCTAAATGGATGAACAATAGATTAAAATATCTAATTGGTCAAAAGAGAGGCATATATAGGCAAGTCAAAAGAGGAGAGGGGCAATTAAGAAATCGATATATTCAGTTAAAGAGAGAAATAAAAAAGGGAATTAGAAAAGCAAAAAGAGATTATGAGGTTAAAGTTGCAAGAGAATCGAAGACTAACCCAAAAGGATTCTTTCAGGTATACAGAAGTAAGATCAGGGACAAGATAGGCCCACTCAAAAGCTCCTCGGGTCAGCTCACTGACAGTGATAAGGAAATGTGTAGAATTTTTAACACATACTTCCTCTCAGTTTTTACACAGGAGGATACCAGCGATATTCCAGAAATGATAAATTATGAAGAACAGGATGATAATAAACTGTGCATGATTAGGGTCACAAGTGACATGGTCCTTAGGCAAATAGATAAATTAAAACCTAACAAATCCCCAGGCCCTGATGAACTGTATGCAAGGGTTCTAAAGGAATGTAAAGAGGAGCTTAGCAAACCTTTGGCTAATCTTTTCAACATATCACTACAAACTGACATGGTGCCAGATAAGTGGAAAATGGCAAATGTGATACCTATTTTCAAAGCAGGTGACAGGTCCTTAGCTTCGAACTATAGACCAATAAGCCTAACCTCCATAGTGGGAAAATTTATGGAATCAATAATTGCCGAGGCAGTTCGTAGCCACCTTGAAAAGCATAAATTAATCAACGAATCTCAGCATGGTTTTACAAAGGGGCGTTCCTGCCTTACGAATTTATTAACTTTTTTCATTAAGGTATTTGAGGAGGTAGGGCATGGTAATGAATATGATATTGTGTATATGGACTTCAGTAAGGCTTTTGACAGGGTCCCACATCAGAGACTATTGAGGAAAATTAAGGCACATGGAATAGGAGGAGAAATTTTTTCCTGGATTGAGGCATGGTTGACAAATAGGCAGCAGAGAGTTTGCATAAATGGGGAGAAATCAGAGTGGGGAAGCATCATGAGCGGTGTTCCACAGGAGTCAGTGTTGGGCCCCCTGCTGTTCACAATCTACATAAACGACATAGATGAGGGCATAAAGAGCGACATCAGCAAGTTTGCCAATGACACCAAAATAGGCCGTCGAATTCATTCTGACGAGGACATTAGAGCACCCCAGGAAGATTTGAATAGACTGATACAGTGGTCGGAGAAGTGGCAGATGCAGTTTAATATAGACAAATGCAAAGTTCTAAATGTTGGACAGGACAATAACCATGCCACATATAAATTAAATAATGTAGATCTTAGTACAGTGGACTCCCGCATAACGATCACCTCCGAATGCGACCAATTATGTAAGTGTATTTATGTAAGTGCATTTTGTACGTGTATGTTTGGGGGTCTGAAATGGAATAATCTACTTCACAATATTCCTTATGGGAACAAATTCGGTCAGTACTGGCACCTGAACATACTTCTGGAGTGAAAAAATATCGTTAACCGGGGGTCCACTGTATTACGGATTGCGTAAAAGATTTAGGAGTTCTGGTTAGCAGTAATCTGAAACCAAGACAACAGTGCATAAGTGTTCGCAATAAAGCTAATAGAATCCTTGGCTTCATATCAAGAAGCATAAATAATAGGAGTCCTCAGGTTGTTCTTCAACTCTATACATCCTTGGTTAGGCCTCATTTAGAGTATGCTGCACAGTTTTGGTCACCGTATTACAGAATGGATATAAATGCTCTGGAAAATGTACAAAGGAGGATGACAAAGTTGATCCCATGTATCAGAAACCTTCCCTATGAGGATAGACTAAGGGCCCTGAATCTGCACTCTCTAGAAAGACGTAGAATTAGGGGGGGATATGACTGAGGTGTATAAATGGAAGACAGGAATAAATAAAGGGGATGTAAATAGTGTGCTGAAAATATCTAGCCTAGACAGGACTTACAGCAATGGTTTTAAGTTGGAAAAATTCAGATTCAGGAAGGATATAGGAAAGTATGGACTGGTTTGGTAATAGAGTTGTGGATGAGCGGAACAAACTCCCGAGTACAGTTATAGAGGCCAGAACGTTGTGTAGCTTTAAAAATAGGTGGATGTGGGTGGGTGTGAGTTGGACCTGATAGCTTGTGCTACCAGGTCGGTTGCCGTGTTCCTCCCTTAAGTCAATGTGACCTGACCTGACTAGGTTGGGTGCATTGGCTTAAGCCGGTAGGAGACTTGGACCTGCCTCGCATGGGCTAGTAGGCCTGCTGCAGTGTTCCTTCGTTCTTATGTTCTTAAAATTATCCATGTCTGAGCTGTCACCCTCGTTTGTGCTTTATCCTCATGCAAACATCTTGCCTTCTTTCCTCCTTGTTGCAGTGGGTGGACTTGTGTTGCTTTAATGACAGCAGTGTCAGTGGGTGCACTTGGGGGGCTTCTGTCATTGTCACTGCTGGTGGGGAGTCAGACTGATAGCTGTCACTGATGTAGGCTCCTGTATAGATTACTCACTCCATCCACTGGAGGGGTCACCCTGTGATTAATGGTTGGTTGTTCATTATTGAGGGACTATAAGGAAGGAAGGTCTCTGCACAGCCATGGGCAGCTTTCATATAGAAGATAAAAAGGAAAGAGACACCACCACAAGAAAAGTGTAGCTAGGAAAAACATACTCAGGAAACTTGGAGAAAGAGAACAGTTGATTAGACTTGCTGCAAATAAAGCTAAAACCACCACAGAAAGCATATGATACAATATGTTAATATATTTAGACCCTAAATTTGCTGGAATCCTAATTTGTGTAATTTAATTATCTAGCTTTTTTACTAATGAGCAACGTGTGAAAAAAAATTATTTGCCTTTTTTTTTTTCTTTTGTGGTGCCCATTTTTGGGGATCTTGGCACATGGCCCTCAAAATTGGGCACTAGAGAATCTTATTCAGATATGCTCAGTGACTTACCCATACTTTTTTTTTTTTTTGAGTCTGCTATTTCTTATAAACATCAGTGTATTAATAAAAATAGAGCAATACTTAGGTCTCTGAAACACAAAATGACCCCAGATGTGTAAAATTCCTTATTCTTTCTTTCAACACACTGGCCGAATTACACCGAGTTGGGGTGGCCCAAAAGAAAAAACGAAAATTTCTCCTTTTACATTTAGTAATATATACAGGAGAAGGGGTTACTAGCCCCTTGCTCCCGGCATTTTAGTCGCCTCTTACAACATGCATGGCTTACGGAGGAAGAATTCTGTTCCACTTCCTCATGGAGATAAGAGGAAATAAACAAGAACAAGAACTAGAAAGAAAATAGCAGAAAACCCAGAGGGGTGCATGTATATATATGCTTGTACATGTATGTGTAGTGTGACCTAAGTGTAAGTAGAAGTAGCAAGACGTACCTGAAATTTTGCATGCTCATGAGACAGAAAAAAGGACACCAGCAATCCTACCATCATGTAAAACAATTACAGGCTTTCGTTTTACACTCACTTGGCAGGACGGTAGTACCTCCCTGGGTGGTTGCTGTCTACCAGCCTACTACCTAGTAAAATTCCTTATTATGCTGACATAATCTTGTATTATTAACAGATTCTAGATTCACAGGACCTTTAGGAACATGACTTAACTCAAATTTGGGGGGCCAGCTCTATGCCAGAGGAATATGCAGATATGAAAACTCAGGAACAGTAAGAGGGAATAAATAACAAAAAGGCACAATACCGTGACTGGAACGATACACAAATAACCCGCACATAAAAGAGAGAAGCTTACGACGACGTTTCGGTCCGACTTGGACCATTGGCAAAGTCAATGGTCCAAGTCGGACCGAAACGTCGTCGTAAGCTTCTCTCTTTTATGTGCGGGTTATTTGTGTAAGAGGGAATAAAGGTAGTTGCCCACAGCACACTAAATTATGAATACGTTAAATATGAGACACTATCATTTCAGTAATGAATGCTGGTAATTCAGCCTGGGATATCCAAAATTATTATTGAGACAGTGCTAAGACCTAAGATGTGCAAACTTCCATGTGGAAAGAACAGTTTGCTATAAAACTGTGAATAAGAAAAACTCATTTTTATGCACAAAGAGAACTCAATTCAAAATAACAGAAAAACAAACATTGAAGACAGCAGGTGGTACAAAAGAGATAGCAGTGAGACTTACATCCTAAGACATTCACATTATAGAATAAAATTTATAATATCGCTTACCACTATGAAAGCTGCCAGTAGTAGATACAAATGTACAAGCAACTGGCATCCCATTCAAAGTAACTCAAGTGACTGACATCTTGAGCTTTTGCCATCATAAAATATTTAAAAACAAAGAAGAAAAGGTCCCTTCATAAGTGTCCTCAAAGAAGTAAATCTAATGTTTAAAGTTCTACAAAAGCCCATGTTGGGGATTTCTTTGATAGTGTATATGAATACCAGAATATAATTTGTGTACATGTAATAGTGTAAATAAATTGCAATGATGATTAGGTCTGTATGTGAAAGATTCAGTTTTCTGTACAGCTGTGCAGCTTATCCTCCCTGTACCTAGGAGAAAAATTCCTACCCGCTAATGAGTATATTTCATGTGAGTATATTTCATACGAGTATATTTCATATGTTTCAGGAAAGATACAAAAAATCTAAAGGAAGGTGAAGAGGAGAAGACTAAGGCCTACTGTGCCCTATGTATAGCACCAAAAGGCTACAATCCTGCTGTACTGGATAGATTAACAACTATGCCAGAGCTTACACTACAGCAAAGGACACCACTTCGGGTCCTCCACAGACGTCCTCTTGCGACCAGACCCAGAGTTATCCACATCATGAGAGCCTCACCTATTGATGACCATTTTTTTAAGGTTTATCTTTAAACTTTTATCATTGTAAATAAAAGATGTTGCTTTCCTAACATTTCAAAGTACAGTGGAACCTTGACTTACGCCTTTAATCCATTCCAGGAGCTAGCTCGTAACTCAATTTACTCGTATATCAAATTAATTTTCCTCATTTAAACTAATTGAAAAGCCATTAATTCGTTCTTGCACACTGGAGAGACGAGAAAAAATACTACTTGAATATGACACTATTATCAACTGTATGGCTTATTTATCTATCACAATTCATCTAATATGACATAATAAACAATATAATTAGCACAGAAACATGATATATACTCTAGAATGAATAAAATAGGTCATAATACGATGGCAGAGGCAGTGTCAGAAATATCTGCCATTTCTGTCCCAATTTGACTATAGTATCTTCCCATGTTCTTACTGTAAGAGAAAATGGAGTGTTTTTGAGGCTAACTGCAGTAGATCATTAGGACCCATGGTTAGAAAAAAGAAATTTGGCCAAATGACTGTAAAAGAAATGCAAACAAGCATGTGAGAACTGCTCCCACAGGGATATAAACATTTTTACTGCTTACCAGCTATGCCAACTAGCAGAAGCAATCTGAATTATTATTACGTACGTATTATGTATTATTATTATTATTAATTTAGGGAACTGAAGCTCTGTCGTTAGAATAATAATAATAATAATTATATTAGTAGTAGTATTATATTATTATTATTATTGTTATTATTAATTTAGGGAACTGAAGCTCTATCATTATTATTATTATTATTATTATTATTATTATTAATTTAGGGAACTGAAGTACTATCATTATTATAATAATACAGTAGACCGCCATTGAAGAATTGCTGCACAATTTTATGTAACACGTTGTATAATTAATTTAACATGGTTCAGTTTGTGGGAAGGAAAAAAAAATATCTTTTGCTCAAGCGGCTGTCTTGTTGTGTAGCAGCCAGGGAGCCATCCCCTACCACTCCCCGACACCACCCCCACCATCCCCTACCACTCCCCAAACACACCCCCCACCATCCCCTCCCACTCCCCGACACCACCCCCACCATCCCCTACCACTCCCCGACACCACCCCCCACCATCCCTACCACTCCCCAACACCACCCCCCCACCATCCCCTACCACTCCCCGACACCACCCCCCACCATCCCCTACCACTCCCCGACACCACCCCCACCATCCCCTACCACTCCCCACACCACCCCCCACCATCCCTACCACTCCCCGACACCACCCTCCACCATCCCCTACCACTCCCTGACACCCCCCTCCACCATCCCCTACCACTCCCCGACACCACCCCCAACTATCCCCTACCACTCCCTGACACCACCCCCCACCATCCCCTACCACTCTCCGACACCACCCCCACCATCCCCTACCACTCCCTGACACCACCCCCACCATCCCCTACCACTCCCCAACACCACCCCCACCATCCCCTACCACTCCCGACACCACCCCCCACCATTCCCTACCACTCCCCGACACTACCCCCCACCATCCCCTACCACTCCCCGACACCACCCCCACCATCCCCTACGACTCCCCGACACCACCCCCCACCATCCCCTACCACTCCCCGACACCGCCCCCAACATCCCCTACCACTCCCTGACACCACCTCCCACCATCCCCTACCACTCCCCGACACCACCTCCCACCATCCCCTACCACTCCCCGACACCACCTCCCACCATCCCCTACCACTCCCCGACACCACCCCCACCATCCCTTACCACTCCCCGACACCACCCCCACCATCCCTTACCACTCCCCGACACCACCTCCCACCATCCCCTACCACTCCTCGACACCACCCCCCAACATCCCCTACCACTCCTCGACACCACCCCCCACCATCCCCTACCACTCCCTGACACCACCCACCAACATCCCCTACCACTCCTCGACACACCCCCCCACCATCCCCTACCACTCCCCGACACCACCCCCCAACATCCCCTACCACTCCCTGACACCACCCCCACCATCCCCTACCACTCCCCGACACCACCTCCCACCATCCCCTACCACTCCCCGACACCACCTCCCACCATCCCCTACCACTCCCTGACACCACCTCCCACCATCCCCTACCACTCCCCGACACCACCTCCCGCCATCCCCTACCACTCCCCGACACCACCCCCCACCATCCCCTACCACTCCTCGACACCACCCCAACATCCCCTACCACTCCCCGACACCACCCCCCACCATCCCCTACCACTCCCCGACACCACCCCCACCATCCCCTACCACTCCCTGACACCACCCCCACCATCCCCTACCACTCCCCGACACCACCCTCCACCATCCCCTACCACTCCCTGACACCACCCTCCACCATCCCCTACCACTCCCCAACACCACCCCCCACTATCCCCTACCACTCCCCTACACCACGCCCACCATCCCCTACCACTCCCCGACACCACCTCCCACCATCCCCTACCACTCCCTGACACCACCTCCCACCATCCCCTACCACTCCCCGACACCACCTCCCACCATCCCCTACCACTCCCCGACACCACCCTCCACCATCCCCTACCACTCCTCGACACCACCCCCCAACATCCCCTACCACTCCCCGACACCACCCCCACCATCCCCTACCACCCCCCACCATCCCCTACCACTCCCCGACACCACCCCCTACCACTCCCCGACACCACCCCCACCATCCCCTATCACTCCCTGACACCACCCTCCACCATCCCCTACCACTCCCCGACACCACCCCTCCACTATCCCCTACCACTCCCTGACACCACCCCCACCATCCCCTATCACTACCCAACACCACCCCCCACCATCCCCTACCACTCCCCGACACCACCCCCCACCATTCCCTACCACTCCCCGACACCACCTCCCACCATCCCCTACCACTCCCCAACACCACCCCCCACCATCCCCGACCACTCCCCGACACCACCCCCCACCATCCCCTACCACTCCCCGACACCGCCCCCAACATCCCCTACCACTCCCTGACACCACCCCCCACCATCCCCTACCACTCCCCGACACCACCTCCCACCATCCCCTACCACTCCCCGACACCACCTCCCACCATCCCCTACCACTCCCCGACACCACCCCCCACCATCCCTTACCGCTCCCCGACACCACCCCCACCATCCCCTACCACTCCCTGACACCACCCACCAACATCCCCTACCACTCCTCGACACCACCCCCACCATCCCCTACCACTCCCCGACACCACCCCCAACATCCCCTACCACTCCCTGACACCACCCCCACACCATCCCCTACCACTCCCCGACACCACCTCCCACCATCCCCTACCACTCCCCGACACCACCCCCACCATCCCCTACCACTCCCCGACACCACCTCCCACCATCCCCTACCACTCCCTGATACCACCCCCCCACCATCCCCTACCACTCCCCGACACCACCCCCCACCATCCCCTACCACTCCCCGACACCACCCCCCACCATCCCCTACCACTCCCCGACACCACCCTCCACCATCCCCTACCACTCCTCGACACCACCCCCCAACATCCCCTACCACTCCCCGACACCACCTCCCACCATCCCCTACCACTCCCCGACACCACCTCCCACCATCCCCTACCACTCCCCGACACCACCCCCCACCATCCCCTACCACTCCCCGACACCACCCTCCACCATCCCCTACCACTCCCTGACACCACCCTCCACCATCCCCTACCACTCCCCGACACCACCTTCCACTATCCCCTACCACTCCCCGACACCACCCCCCACCATCCCCTACCACTCCCCGACACCACCCCCACCATCCCCTACCACTCCCTGACACCACCCCCACCATCCCCTACCACTCCCCAACACCACCTCCCGCCATCCCCTACCACTCCCCGACACCACCCCCCACCATTCCCTACCACTCCCCGACACCACCTCCCACCATCCCCTACCACTCCCGACACCACCTCCCACCATCCCCTACCACTCCCCGACACCACCTCCCACCATCCCCTACCACTCCCCGACACCATCCCCTACCACTCCCCAACACCACCCCCCCACCATCCCCTACCACTCCCCGACACTGCCCCCAACATCCCCTACCACTCCCTGACACCACCCCCCACCATCCCCTACCACTCCCCGACACCACCTCCCACCATCCCCTACCACCTCCCGACACCACCCCCACCATCCCCTACCACTCCCCGACACCACCCCCCACCATCCCTTACTGCTCCCCGACACCACCCCCACTATCCCTTACCACTCCCCGACACCACCCCCCCACCATCCCCTACCACTCCCCGACACCACCCTCCACCATCCCTACCACTCCTCGACACCACCCCCCAACATCCCCTACCACTTCTCGACACCACCCCCACCATCCCTTACCACTCCCTGACACCACCCACCAACATCCCCTACCACTCCTCGACACCACCCCCCAACATCCCCTACCACTCCCTGACCCCACCCACCAACATCCCCTACCACTCCCCGACACCACCCCCACCATCCCTTACCACTCCCCGACACCACCCCCACCATCCCCTACCACTCCCCGACACCACCCTCCACCATCCCCTACCACTCCTCGACACCACCCCCCAACATCCCCTACCACTTCTCGACACCACCCCCCACCATCCCTTACTACTCCCTGACACCACCCACCAACATCCCCTACCACTCCTCGACACCACCCCCCAACATCCCCTACCACTCCCTGACACCACCCACCAACATCCCCTACCACTCCTCGACACCACCCCCCAACATCCCCTACCACTCCCCGACACCACCCCCCAACATCCCCTACCACTCCTCGACACCACCCCCCAACATCCCCTACCACTCCCGACACCACCCCCCAACATCCCCTACCACTCCTCGACACCACCCCCCAACATCCCCTACCACTCCTCGACACCACCCCCCAACATCCCCTACCACTCCCTGACACCACCCCCAACATCCCC